TGACTTAAATTGGAATTGAAATATTAAATCATTTAGCATCAAGCCACTGTATTAAAATGAAAAATATACAGTAATTTGGTGCTTGGTATTGCCAATAATGCCTCGATACGATACGATATGATATGATACGATGCAATACGATACGATACGATGCGATATGATATAATACATACCAGTTAATCCATACTAGGGATATTAGTAGTAATTAATTGTTGATGAATTGTCAGCAACTTACTGTTTGTCTGGTATCACATGTTTCATAAGGTATTGATACACTATCACACCATACCAAACAGATAATGTACACATACTTACCAACATTTAAAAGTATAAACAGATTATAGTATTCCATGACACTTTTTCTTGTCTTATCTTCAAAGTCATGCAATCATGAATTTTGTTAATTTGTATCTTTCAGGTGCGTCTTGTCCAGAAAAAAGATACCGGCCATGTTTATGCCATGAAAATATTACGCAAAATGGACATGCTGGAAAAAGACCAGGTAAGTTTATGTATTTGTTGTGAAATAAATTAAAAAATCTGCTGTCCTACCACAATATTTACAGCCGTATTGACCTGAAGACATTCTGAAATATATAGCTTGCAAATAAGAATTTTATATTGTAACTTTTATAAAATATCAGTAAGAGACAAATTAAAATCTGAGCCACTTTGGTTGGACAGAAGGAACAAAAAAATAAGCAGAACCATGCCCTTTTAGAACACCAAATATCACTCTATGATAGTCAATTGATATCTCTGCAATAATTGAGCAATGTAGTCATATTCCTGAAGATTTTATCCCTAGAGCCTATGATCACCTTATCCATTTATAAGCAGCTATAAATTAGAATTAGTATTCTTAATGTACTTGTTAACCTTTATAATATTATTCATTGCCTGATAAAGACCAGAAAACACTGGTTGAAGCATCGCTCAAATACAGTTAGTAATGGAAATCCATAGGAATTGTTTTATTATATTCATGTTATCATTATTTAATATTTTTGTTACAGGTAGCCCATGTGCGAGCAGAGCGTGATATCTTAGTAGAAGCTGATCATCAGTGGGTTGTTAAAATGTACTATTCTTTTCAAGATGCACAGAATCTTTATCTTATAATGGAATTTTTACCTGGAGGTAAGCAGATACTTTGAGTGAATTAGTACTTTGTGCTATGTTTACTCAGTCTTTGATTGAAAAGAAAGTAAAATTACAAATTAATGTTTTTAAAGAAAGTAACAGGTTATATTAGATTAGGACATCTTGCATTATAATTTTGCAGTAATAGAAAGATTTTGCAAGACCTAAGAAATAGTTTTGTGGTATAAGTAAGAACACTGTATAAGCAGATTGGCAACCTCTTTCAGAAGTGAGCGCTCCAACTGAATTGAGGCCTTATTGAAAACTCATTGAAAACTGTTACTTTCAGGTGATATGATGACATTATTGATGAAGAAAGATACATTAACAGAAGAACAGACCCAATTTTATATATCAGAGACAGCTTTAGCTATAGAATCAATACATAAACTAAACTTTATACATCGTGATATCAAACCTGATAATTTATTATTAGATTCTAGGGTAAGTTATAACTTGATACATCGTGATATCAAACCTTTAAATTTATTATTAGATTCTAACTTTATACATAGATATATTAAATATTTTATTGTGATATTAAATCTAATATTATGATTTTAAATCTAATATCGTGATCTTTAATATAATATCGTGATCTTAAATCTTATCTTGTGATATTAAATCTAATATTATGATCTTAAATCTAATATCGTGATCTTTAATCTAATATCGTGATCTTAAATCTTATCTTGTGATATTAAATCTAATATTATGATCTTAAATCTAATATTATGATCTTAAATCTAATATCGTGATCTCAGATCTAATATCGTGATCTTAAATCTAATATTGTGATCTTAAATCTAATCTTGTGATCTTAAATCTAATATCATGATCTTAAATCTAATTTTATGATCTTAAATCTAATATCGTGATCTCAGATCTAATATCGTGATCTTTAATCTAATTTTATGATCTTAAATCTAATCTTGTGATCTTAAATCTAATTTTATGATCTTAAATCTAATCTTGTGATCTTAAATCTAATATCATGATCTTAAATCTAATTCTATGATCTTAAATCTAATCTTGTGATCTTAAATCTAATATCATGATCTTAAATCTAATCTTGTGATCTTAAATCTAATATCATGATCTTAAATCTAATATTGTGATCTTAAATCTAATATCATGATCTTAAATCTAATTTTATGATCTTAAATCTAATCTTGTGATCTTAAATCTAATATCATGATCTTAAATCTAATCTTGTGATCTTAAATCTAATATCATGATCTTAAATCTAATATCATGATCTTAAATCTAATTTTATGATCTTAAATCTAATATTGTGATCTCAAATCTGATATTATTTACAATTATTTATTTTTTCTATTCATTAAATTTTTTTTTGCAAGATTTTAGCACAATATGATATTGTACTTTTGGTATTTATTCCTGTGTATTATTTTCAGGGTCATATAAAGTTGTCAGATTTTGGTTTATGTACAGGAATGAAAAAGTCCCATAGAACAGAATTTTATAAAGATTTATCACAGGCCAAGCCTGGAGATTTTAATTGTGAGTATTTACCCTTTTAACATCTGTAAAGGAGATTGTAAACATTTGGATTGCAAATTTATTTTGATGTTGAAAAAGGAGTGTAAACCTAACAGAAAGAACAGTGGTTTTCTTTCAGTGTCAACTGTTCAAGGGAAATAACTCCTGTTTAGATAGAAAATCTAAAAATCTGAAAATTGCTGTATAGTTCTCACAAGTAATATAATAAACGTTCTAATTTGAAATAATTGTCTTTTCAGCTGGAAATCCAATGGATTCTAAACGAAGGGCGGAAAGTTGGAAAAGAAATAGAAGGGCTTTGGTAAGAAAAGTTGCATGAATTCATTTATGATTGAAAATCAGAAAACAATTATTGCTTCGATTCCAAACTATATTTTTCATAATGTCCATGAAGAAAATGTAAAAAATTGACCATTATTTAAAAAGTCTACATAATATACACCCATAAACATCAATTATAGTACAGTATAGACATATATTATAAAGCTAAAATATATATAACACTGAAACATTTGCAAGAAAACATGCACAATTCAGTTGGACATCATAGTTGTGATTTAGCAGTTAAGTCTTACAATTTATTGGAATAAACATATAATTAAGTTACATTAATCAATAAGAACATAAAAACACAATGGTAATTTTCTTACATCATCTAAAAAAAAAAATAAAAAAAAAAATTCCTTTATTAGGAAATACTGTTATATTTTTTCCTACTTATCTAGGTTTTTGCCAAGAAATTAAGCCCAATTTGGGTGACTTTCAGCTGCAATATCTTGTTTGTCAATAAAGAATTAGTTATCAAGACTTACAGTTACAGCTTATAAAGATTAAATCGGATTCATTCTCTTTCAAAATGTCAAATATAGAGGTGATTCCTGAAGTGGAATATAAACTTTTTGAGAAACCTTGGCTGAAAAATAAATTGCTGTATGTAGAAAATAAAAATATGATTAAACTGTTATTACAGTACAGACTATATCACTGTACATGTATTTGGTTCAAACAAGCGAAACTGTGAACCTATAATCATGCTAAGAATTTTTATTTTTATTGAAAAATTTTTCTGAAATTGTATATATGTAAAAAACATATTAAAATATCCTCTAAGGTTCTGCACACCACTGAAATCAGAAAAATGCCAATCATAGATATGCTACACCCTTATGATAAAATCTTAAGATACAAAAACTAGTGACAACTAAATGCTAAATTAACCTAAAAACGTGGAAAAATCTGTCCACATAATTAAAGTGATACAACGTCTCAGAATGAACATAAAATTTAAGTTCTCAAGAATGGTCAATATGAGTATATATTCATCAGTGAACTTACCTGGTGTCACAAAGTTACAACAGAATCCCTGTAAAATCTGGAAAATTGGAAAATTCATAAAATATAGGTAATCATTGAAAAACGCTTAATCTTGATATTAAGTTTTTTGGATTTATCAGATTATATAAGGATTTTGTTATGTTATTTATGACACCAGGTATATCTACTGATGAATATATAATTCTCTTTTTGGCCAAGTTTAAAATTCTTAAATTTTATTTTCATTCTAAGATGTAGCATCACTTTAATCTGAAGGTTTGAACTAAAAATATCACGTCATTATATGGCCCTACACAAAAACTCAACATTAAACTGCTAAATTAACAATTTGTGCGCTCGGTTTGTGAATTAATCCTTATAAAACAAATTCAGTTTGATCAAGTAGATACATAGATATAAATAGTATACTTTTAAAAAGATTTCGCATATAATTTACTAAATTTAATGAAAATTTTCCAAATTTTGCCCCCTTTAAGATCTAAAGTTTTATGTGCTTACATACTAATTTATATTACAGGCCTATTCTACCGTGGGTACGCCTGATTATATCGCACCAGAAGTGTTCATGCAAACAGGTTATAATAGTTCATGTGATTGGTGGTCTCTAGGTGTTATAATGTATGAAATGATGATAGGTTACCCTCCATTTTGTTCGGAAAATCCTCAGGAAACTTATCGTAAAGTGATAAACTGGCGTGATACACTTGTCTTTCCTCCTGATGTACCCATTTCAAATGAAGCTAAAGAAGTCATTCAAAGGTGGGTTTAGATTTTGATATTGTATGCCTAGTTAAGAGGGGTGGGAAAGGGGGGCGGTCAATAATCTTTATGGTTGACATGAAAAGATGGTAAGGCAGCATCTGAATAGTCCTGAAAAATTTCTCTCATTGCACACTGTATGATGTTGTTCTGAAGATGCAGGAAAGTGGGATGTAAAACTCCATTTCATCTCTTCGAGTTTAGATTGGTTACTTTAGATCTTGAAAGTTGTGATAGAAAAATTGTAGGTCAGTTGCGCATAATCCTGGCAAAATTTCTCTCATTGCACACTGCAATGTTGGGTCTTCATTTGCCAATAAGGATGAAGGAAAGTGGGATATGTTACAGGATTGTTTTCCTCAAGTTATTAAAGATGGGTTTCCTTATTTTTTAGTGTCAAATTAAGCAAACTATTTGATAAACTGGTGTTTCTAATGAATTACCCTGTATTCTTAATCATATCATTATGTTCTTATTGCATATAATTAAGAGTTTTAACCAATCATAAATGTTCATGCATGTACAGTCTGGATAATCAAAAAAAATTCTTCTAATTTAGCTAATTATGAATTAATTATGGACATGTGAGACAAACTGGTATTTTTCAAGTCATTAGAACACCTCTACTTTCTATTCATATAAGTATTAGCATTGTCATTTTCATGAAAATAAGGGAACCCATATTTAAATGTTTGAAATATGGAAAATACTGATAGGCTAATATATATTTATTGTTGTAGATTTTGTTGTGATGGTGAACATAGATTAGGAGCTGGTGGTATATCAGAAATAAAATCACATCCTTTTTTTCAATCTGTAGACTGGGATCATATCAGGTATTATTCTTATCCTTTAATTCCACATTAATCAGTTATCAATAGTGACCACAAGATGAAAGTGTATCTTACTAATAAAGCTGTTTCTGATACAAAATACATCATCAGGGCTATTGACAATAAATGAGGTTTAATAATAATGTTAAGCCATTATGAACTTCATACTTATACCTTGACTGCAAGAGTCATCTTTTATTGTCATGAAAGTATCAAGAAAATGCAGTGATTTTTGTTTGATTTTACGTTGGTGATTTCAGCCAGAGGCCTTGACGGATAATCTTATACAAAGCCATAACGTTTACTGTCTGTCGAGGGCAGTGATTGGCTGTATTTGCTTGCCTACAACAATCCAATCAAATCACTACAGTGACTATTTGGAGTCCAGGTATAAGTACGAAGTTCGTAATAACTTGACATTATGAAGATGACATAACTGAGGTGTCATTGACAAGGAAATTGTGATAGGGAAAACTTAATCATGCTCTAATTTGTCAGATTCAAAATGGAGAGTTAAGAAATAACTAGTCTTTTTAGTCATCATCTAACCAGTGGACATCAGTCCATCATTTGGTGGTTTATGACAATATATTATTTTTTTATAGGGAACGTCCAGCAGCAATACCAGTTGATGTCAAAGGAATTGATGACACATCTAACTTTGATGAATTTCCGGAAATTGATTTGAAATTATGTAAGTTTATTCTGAATTTCAATCTGATCAAAATGCAGATCTTGAAGGTACACTTGCCATCCATGATCTGACAAGTTTTTCTTTTAATCTTGTTCTGCCAAGTTTTGAAAAGACAATAGAAAACTGTCTAATTAACAACAACCATCCCAAATTTGTTTCTTGATTGGTTGTATTGAACAATGCAAACAAATTCTTCAGATCATGGATGACAAAAGGAGTCACCTATAGAGAAAAAAAACACGAAACTAAACATCAAGATTTGCATTTTAATCAAATTTATTGAAGGTTTCTTGATAAAAATTAAAGCTTGAGAAATATTTGTCCGTAAAAGCATTTTCAGGATATAAACCAAAGAACAGTCAAATGGCTTTTAAATTTTGAGTTGACCATTCTTATCAGATTGTTTGAAATTTTTATTTATCTTAAAAGGATTGTAAAGAATTTTCAAAATTTTGTATGTGTATCAGGGAGAATGCTGGCATCAATTTGTGCCATTCCATTTTCAATCAGACGTCTATGGTTCTGGCAATTCTACTAAAACTAAGTTCTTTATGTGATATTTGCAAATTTTGCGGGGTGACAAAAAAACGCTTAGTTTTAGTGGAATGGCTAGAACAACAGACATCTGATTAAAGATGAAATACACATAAAAAATTAAGAAGTTCTATTTACAATCCCTTTATGTGAAATATACAATATGTGAATTTTGGCTAAAATATTTCAGGCCTTACAGTATTAATCACAGGTACTTGTGAAGAATAATCATTCATAATTCTAGATTCTTAAATACCTAGCTAAATTTCTTCTTCTATTGCTTTTATGGGCATATATAGACTGATAGTTATTTTCTGTGGAAAAATTTTAAATGAAAAGTTTGATATTAAATATTTAAAAAGGAAAAAATTTATTTAACACGTTAAATTTTCCTAGAAATTTGTAAATATAAGAAAAATTTATTAGATATCTTGTATTTTCATAGAAATTTTCAAAGGGACAGAAGCCAGGTTTGCCATTTTTTAACCTATCAAACTTTAGTTTCAGAAACAGGAACTTTTTAGCTAAGCCAACAGTAATGGTGTTCATAGCTCACCATCGAAATATGAGCCTTCATATCCATGTGTGTCCAGAGTTATTCACGTTTGAAAGTTAATAGACCGAGTCGTCTTTTCATGAGACACTGTCTAATATAGAAAATACATAAATAGAAATAGGAAAAGAAATTCCTAGTTTGAGATATTTTTTAAGGAATTATGAATTTTTCGTACATTTCTAGTACTTCTGAAGACTATTTACATATATTCAAGACTCAAATCGACTCACCAAAATGGCAAACCTGTCTCAATATTTACATGATAAAGTGAAGAAAATAAAAAAATTTAGGTTGCTTTCTTAACATAGATGCAAGTTTCTTTTGATGCATGTACCCTTTGGTGATATCTAACTAATTAATAATAACACTGTAACTATTGTTCATTTGGGGAGAAATTGTCTCATATTTAAGTATATTGAATTATTTGACGACCTATTCTTATATCAAGATAAAGTAAAGATGTTTTAATGATTGGCAAAAATACCAATTTGTTTGACAAGTTTCTTATTATTTCATAATTATTTAAAGGAATTGTAAAGAGGTTTTCTTAATTTTTTAAGTCTATCAGGGATATTGACAGCATCAATTTGCACCATTCTAATTTTCAATCAGATGTCTGTGGTTCCTGCAACTCCACTAAAATTAAGTGTTTTATGACATAACTAATGTCACTTTATCACAAAAGGCCTTTGGCTGTTAATGACTTCATTAAATTGTTATCTTTAGCAGAATTGCAGGAACCACAGATATCTGATTGAAAATGAAAGTGGTGCAAATCGATGCTATCAGTGTCCTTGAAACACACAAAAAGACCTCTTTATAATCCCTTTAATTAAATATTGATATGAAGCAATTTTGGTTTGAATTTTTGGGTGTTAAATGAATTTTTTTACACTGTTTTATGCATGGAGGAATTATGATTTAAACTATGCAAGCCTGACATATATTGTATTCATAATCTTGCTATTAACTACACGTACTTGAAATTATAGTGAACTTTTTCATCTCCCTCGAATTTTTTGAATCAGATAAGAAAGCTGTTAATCAAATTTGAAATTCAGTTTTTTTCAATTTTTTGTCTATTTTTCAGCATCACCGCCTAAAGAAGAAGACATCCCTGATTCTAAATATAAAGATTGGGTGTTTATTAATTATACATATAAAAGATTTGAAGGGTTAACACAGAGAGGTTCCCGATCACCTTTAAATAAAAGCTAGACAACTGCATTGTATCTTGATTATATGTGATAAAAATATCTTTATTATTCTTACAGCCGTTAATGGTCTTATATTTTAATATCGGAGGAGGGTTGTAGTTCATGTGGTTAGAGTTTTGTTTTATGACATCATCATCCACAAATTCTTTTAAAATCTAGGGACTATTTTTCTAACCCAGGGCAATATGGAACCTTCATATTTTTACATGTAGTTATGGGAACTGTTTTCATACAAATCAGAGTTGAAAACCCAGTCATTAAGTGGCAATAGGTGTTCAAGAAGGGAGAGCTTGCCCTAATTTAAAGCATACCTTTTAATGATTCTTTGATTTGCTGTGTTCAGTCCTATTTTAGCTGTAAAAAACAAGATGTTTTCAATGTTTCCATGGAATTCTTATATGACAACTTTTATCTTCATAATCATTGGCTGACAAACCTGCCAAATGTTACAATGATACTGCTAGAGTAATAACTGCTTTGATAACTTTTGACAGAAATTGCTGCTTACTGAACATCTGCTTACAAGAAAATCCTGAGAATGATTTAACCAGATGACTGGCTGCAGATATGAGCTCAAACTTTCGTTCTGTTTTTTCATTAGCATTTGTATTTAAAATAAGCGCTTTAGTTAAGGTCTAACGACAGCCCTTTTAAACATCAAATTAATCTTTTGACCTAACCTGATGACATCTGCTTAACAGTTCGCATCACAAAATGCCAAGAAGGCCTAAATTTTATTGGTTAAAGCAGGTCAGGTAATTTGACTAACGTTCAAGAGAGCTATATTGAAAATATAACCTAATAAAAAAAACAAAAGGAAAGTTTGATCTAATTTTTATTTGGCTGGCTAATATATGAAATATAAGACCATTAATGTTTGTAGATTATAAGAAATTAAAGTCTTTGTTTAAAATATATTGTAGATTTTGAATATTTCTGGTACCTTATTAGAAGTTGTTCTCTATATAATATAATCTTATTGGTTTGTAGAGGTTCCCAGTTATTCACTTTTATTTTCATTGCCAAAGTTTTAAACTTAGAATTTGATTTTTTATAATTATTGTTACATTTTGCTTAGATAAGTTTTAGAATATCCAAGTTTCTGACGATAATATCTGCTTTTTTGTTGAAAATTATCATAACTCGTAATTTATAATAATGCATATAATACGTTCTATCACAAAGGGGCACACATAGCAAATATTTTAGAGCATATATCAGTAGACGGAATGTTGCCGTCAACTGAACGTCACATGATATCAACATCAAGTCCGATTGGTTTAAGAAAGATTGGGAAGACAAGCGAATTTAATCGCCAGAGTAAATAACGGGTTGATAATATCAAACATTTTTTTTAGCCTATGATTTGTACAGATGTAACAAATTGTCAACATGAGTAGACTTGCAAGTCCCTAACATAAGGACTATTATAATTGGACGATTTTAAGAAAATGAGTTAAAATTGACCAATCAGAATTTTTAAATTACACTCTACTTAGTTAAGATGTTTTATTCTTTACAATGAAATTACAAATTTGTTTGAAATTTTAACATTTTGCGTGTTGCTTTAATTTGGAAAGCTGTTGACTTATTTTAGATCTCTTACAATTTTGTAATTTGAGTTTTTAGATGGCGTTGCAATTATTTTCCCCAAAAAAATGAAATGAAAATGAAATGAATGGAGTTTTACGTCCTACTTTTGTGCATCATGTGGGTTAATGAAGACGGCAACGCCATGCAGGGTGCAATAAGGGAAATTTTGACAGGACAGCCGCATTAGCCTGCTCTTTTTCGATTTCCAACAGCCTGTAGCACATGGGGCGTCGGTTTATTGTCCCATCCGAACGACTAGACGCTTTTTCCATGTCAGACCCTCTTACCTGCATCACTGACAGGGGGAAACTGGGTTGAAAAATCCGAAGCTATTTCCCAAAAAAGAAATAATATCAATAATATTGATGACAATCGTGAAACTTGGATAATCTTAAACTATAATCTCTACAAGTTTGTCCCAATCATATCTTATATAGAGAAATTAATGTATGCTATATTTTTCATAAAAGTTAGTGATAAGCAAATATAGTTAAAAGTATTTTAGTCACTTTTTTTTTTTTCGCTTTTTTGAGGACATAAAACATCACCCACATTTTTGTTAGACATTTTTTTTGTTAAATTTTTTGTTGTAAACTTTCCTATGGCTTCCACATTGCAATAGTTTAAAGAAGTAGAAATTCATCAATTTTAAAAGAATTCTAATTTTAGTACACTACTCTCTAAACAGCAACACATAATTTACTGAAAAATGAAGTGATTTTACTTCAAATTTGCTAAATTCAGTTAGAAAATTTATTTTCGGATGTATGAGTCTTTGAACATCACTGTTTTATTTTCATCCTAGCATTTTAAGGTTTTAGAATTGGTATTAGGGAAGTATTTTGTAGTTGTAAAGTGTTCCACTAGTATCTAAATTGACATCGTTTATATATCAAAGCCTTTGAGTAACGTAAAGATAGGGACATTTTGAGTTCATCGAGCAGCATCTTACAAAGTGACTATAGCCTTAGATAGCCTAGTCACTCTAATGTCATAAAAAAAAAAATTCAGAATGAAATTCAGCCATCTTTGAAATGCTCATATTTTCAGACATGTAAGGTCTGCAGCAAATAGTCAAAATTTTGTCCATACAACATTTCGAAATGAGTCACAAACTGACAAACTTATGTCTGTAGAATTTAATTTTTGACTCATCTGAATTTTGGTCGAAACTTTAAGTACAATCCATGGACCATGGTTTATCTTTGCTTTTCTAATGCGCTCAGGCTTTGAAAATGATTTCAAAATTCACTTACTAGATCATGACATTAAATGGTTAACTTTCATGCTTTCATTGACGACCATTTTGTAAAATACATAACATTTACATCAAATTTGACCACATCAAGGATTACCCGTGTTTTCTTCAAAAACAATTTATTTATATCTTTGTGTTTGTTTTTATTAGAATTGTGTTATTTTGTTGTAATTAAGGTACTTAGACCACTCTTTTTCCTATTTATATCTTAGTAAATCTTCAAAGATTGTACAGTTTTCTGCTTTTGAACTATTCATTGGCAGTTACTCTTTGGTACTTAGTGCACGCTTTTTCAAAAAATGTCTTCATAAATTGGAAATTTGCATGTAGTCATAACAAAGCGAATATCCAAAACTATTGTGTGCAATCAAATCTGGTAGACAAGCACTGCATAATTTATATTTTTGCTGCGGAAAATTTCAGAGTATATTATTAGTGGCCTTTCTAAGGTAGGACTTATTCTGTCTTTACAAATCAAATTCGTGATGTAAGAATATGCCTAAATACTAACCCTGAATACAAAGTTCAAGCAGAAAACTGATCAATGTTGTATTATTGGTAAAGGAAAAAGTAAGTCTAATTAAAACTATTTATTACTATAATAATCTATAATATTGGACATTCCAAGTCTAGCAGAAGACAGTGCTATTATTGCGAAATTACAAACTTAAATGCTGGTGCATTGGAAGTGGGTTTATTTTGAGAAATTTTAACGTACCTCGGTTTATCTGTGATTCTTTTCTGCCTTCAATTATCTCCCTTGAAATTTAGTCGTATGGAAATTTGATTTATGCACATGATATGCGCTTATGTCGATGTGCTTTCTTTTGATTATTTATAATAACACCAGCATCAAATGTAATTTAACGTATTTGCTTTTGATGTTACGTAAAACTTCAATCACATGTGCCACGTTTAAAATTAAGGTTGCATTCGATTGGTGAGTGCTGCTCATTCAGGTGTCATGAAATCAATCGAACATTCAATAAAACACGTTGGAACAGGGTTCAGAACTCTGGAAAAAATAGTAGATGCAGACAGAATTCAAAATGGTGAAGATAGGAATAGAAAAGAAAATTTTGAATGTGACATAGTTTGGTTCTATGGTGTTTTGTCAGGTCAGAATTGGAACAATCGGAACATGTTCAGAACTCACCAATCAAGCGCAACCTAGTTTAGTTTATAACTCTTATTTGAACAGAAATTAAGTCTCTTTTTTTTTAAAATGCACATGTTGGTACATTAGCCTACACTTATAGCATAGCTGTCAGTTAGCATGAAAAAGCTACAGATAAGCAATTTATATTAGAATCTCAATTACTGTCTTTAATACTTTCAACTTGTAAAAGTAATATATATTTATCTGTAGCCCTGTAATATTTATAGCAACTATCTATTTTGAGTACTCGGGCAGCCAATTTTTGTATCGCTTTTTTTTTTGTCTGGACTTAAAAGGTTGTGTTTGCATGCCTTGCTAAATTATTATATTGTGAAAACACACGTTAAAGAATTTGGAAAAATTATTTTTCCTGAATTTGTACTGTTATCTGAACTGAACATCAAAATATATGCAAGAATAGTCCATTGTATTTTGAGGTTGTTAAGTGTTATAAACAAGAATATTGGTGTAATCTGTAAAGTTTAAATTACCATTAATTTACCTCAGAACAAAATGGACTGATCTTGTTTATGTTGGAAGCATCCTTGATGTACATACAACTTTGTCAGACTAATGCATCCTTGTAGGGCTGCAACGATGAATCGATGGACTGCGATTCTTTCCGTCTTATCAATGCATTGCATTGGATTGATGTAATGGTATGATTAATTCTTATCCCCCTTTAATAACAAATGACTCAAAATCCTAGTTTGCAAATTTGCAAAAATTCATTTTGACTTTAAAAATTGAGGTTTTTTTTCACAATTCCTTTCTTTTAAATATTCTCCAGTGTTTAATAGTGACAAAATTGTTAGTAATTTTACAAATTTCTTGTATTTTTTCTCTTTCCTTCTCTAATAAATGAATCGTGATAATTATAGCAATAAATTGTATCGTTGGATGAGTATCATATAGTATATTGAATCACAACTTCAAGAATCATTGCAGCCCTACATCCTGGTATTACAGATATCCAAGGAAACCATTTCCAACTTTTCACTATATGTACTTTTAATATATACTTTTCAGATTACTATTAGTTTCAAATTTCTGTTTTTTGTTTAATCATTTTTCATTTCATAAGTATTTCAGCTATATTTATCAACCATTTTTATGAAATGAACTTAATGCTTATTTCAAAAAACATAACAAATATGGTAGCAAGATTTTAAATATGAAATAATCCGATTGGTTATTAAAACAAAATTCAATTTTATTTGAGTATTTGACTAGTTTGCTGAAGAGAACTTGATAAAAAAAAGTTCATTTTTTCTTTGATGAAAATTACAACAGTATAGATATTTCAGTTCATTGCAACAGTTTACATTTTTCAGACCTAACAATAAATTTCCCAATTAAAATTCAAGATGATTATTTTGTCCCTGTGTTTATTATGATAAATGTTTATAATTCTATTGGTGATCATGTGATAGTTTAACCAACAATTTGTGTTTATATTGTGTTGTTGTTAATTATAATTAGTGAATATTTCTCCATCTTAATTAGCGTTCTAAAATCTAGTATAATTTTTAGCTTAGATTTCAGGTTCTTTGAAAAGATGTTTGGTTGTTGGTTGTTGCTAGCTGTTTCTTGTTTATGTTTTTGCTATATATGCCTAGTGACTGCGCCATCCTGATCAATGGGGGATAACTCTCAAAGTTATTAAAAATGTGTCTGCTAAGGAGAAGCGCCATAGATGTTTTCTCCAATGGAGCATTTGAGAGGGTTACCTTCACAAAATTTCAAAACAAATGAATGACATTCTGATAATTATATTTGGGAAAAAATCTTAAAAAATTTTGAATTAGTTAGAAATGAAGTCTAAGTACACACCATTTTTCAAGGGTGACAAATACACTCCCAGTACCGTGATTCTTGGTAATGGATCTGATTTGTGTTTTGGTTTAAAACACTTAGTTAAAAAATGGAGAAATATTCCATTTCCTGCAATTCAAACGGAAATCTGGAATGAAACCATGGAAACTGAGGGCAGGAAACACCAATTGTAAAAGAACGGAAATTGAATTCTTTTGGTTTAGTTTGACAAGTGTGCGTATTCAGGGAAAAATTTGTCATGTTGTATAATGACTGTTTATTCTTTGTTAACTTTAACCATAGTTGGAAATAAAGTAATTGCATATAGTTTGATGAAATGACACTTGAAATTTTGAACTGAATGTTAAGGTGAAATAAATTTGGAAATACTGTTTTCGAAACATAGAGTTCATAAAACAAGGATTAATCCTTCTAATGACTTTAATGTAAAATCAAAATTCATTCGCTACACGAAGCCATAATTCTAAATATTTCTAAAGCTAGCACACTCCCCTTTTAAGTTGTATGTGGTTTATACCCTATTAGGGGTTATCCAGTTTTTATGCTTATTAGAAAATTTGACTAATTAATCCTCACTAATTATAATTAATAACAATACCATATATAGAACAAACCAGTGAGTGGTAATCGATATATTAGATGTATATAATTATTATTATAATAATTAAAAAGAATATATGAATAAAATGTAAATATGTGTATCTCATCCAAAATTATGCTGTTGTTATTTATATGTTTTCCTTCTCTGAAGATGATGGAGTACCACTGTGTCCAAGAAAATAGTGTTCAGTCATTCGGATTGGTTGAAAGTTCGAGAGAACAGTCAATAATGTTTGGTTTCATGTCTTGTACATTAGTGTTGATAAAACTTGAATGCGAGGGTAAAAAAATTCTAATGTGGATGTATATTACTGTTCCCCATGTCTGTCTGTTGGTCCATCAGTCCATAATTAGATTAACAAGATAGGGACCACAGTTTTCATCAGATTTTATGAAATTTGGTTTGTTGGCTAATATCTACGAGATCTTATTCAAGTTAGACTTTGGGTAAGAATTTAACAAAGGATAATGAAGTTTAATCCCTTGATATACTGAAATTATGTTAGATGTGCCTTGTGACTGTGATAGAGGTGAAAGTTTTTGTCAGAATTTCATTAAAGCTTATGTGTAGGTTTAAATCAAGAACATCTCAGATAAGTTAGATTTTTAGTATGATTTACAATGCACATATTGTACATATTGACGACCCTTGATATATTGAAAATCTATCATCAAAGTGGGCGTATCTTGCCAGGCAACCACTTGTTGAAGTTATTATGGTGCTCTCTGAATTTCAATATTGTGCCTATGGTTACAGCTCTTGAAAACAAACATTGCATTAGATTTAAATTGAATCTGATATGTTTCTATATATATATTCATGAGAAGAAGGGGTAATGAATGAGATCATGAAGCCAAATTTAACATCAGACCAGGACAGTAGGAGTTCTAACTTTTAAGGGTATAAAAAACACAATTCTGTTCTTTTATGGTTTTATTTGACTGAAAGATTGAAAAAGAAATTGAAACATAATTATGAGCTTTTTTTTTTTATTTACATAACTGACCATTCAAATACTGTTATTTACAATATAGATAACATACATGTATTACAATCATTGTAAGTCCTAATTGTACATCAATATATAAACCAGCAATCCTGATTAAGATTTTGTATCCAAAACGTGAATGTGCATTATCATATGAAGTCCAGGACATTTTTTATTTAATCTTTGGTTTTATCAGATCCAAAATATTTCTGAATCATTATATGTCACTTCTAAAAATTCATTTAATTTAAAGGTGAAAATTTGGAAACACAAATATTTCTGCACAATCTAGGATTTGATTTCATCCAATAAATGCCAAAGTGACAATAATTTGAAACCGTTCAGGTCAAAACTTGGGATGAAATACAAGACCATTTAACATTGACATTACCACTAAAATTACCTCCATTAATTTTAATTTTCAATAACATACATATCTTATCCTACAATTATTTCACAGCATGTATAGAAAAAATACATAGATAGCAATGGTAATCACATATAGAGATACAAATTAAAATATTATTAAGAAAAAAAGCAACAAATGCATTGGTTGTGCTTATAAACAATAAATTGACTTACAACACTAATAAAATTATATAGTCATCTAAATATTTGTTCTATCAACTGATAGAGCTCAATTGTTGCACTGAGAATGTTAACTGCCTTGAAGTTAAGTCTAAATTGTTTATGAATTGTAGGTAAACTGGATGTCAGATGTTTAATTTGAAAAGCGATATATATAGCAGAAATTTAGCTGCATCAGGTATATAAAAACTGTTTCTTTTCAATATTTGCCAATTTTTCAATATTGACCCTCCTTTAAACATGAAAAATGTATGTGCCAAAAAATTCAAGTTCAAATTGTCTTGACCGGTCTAAGATTAGCTTATTCTGACAAAATAAATTCAAAAAGTGCTAAACTAGTAAGAAAAATACAAAACTTTTAACAAAATAAAAATAAGAATAGCAAGTCAAGTCAAATAATTGATCCAAAAAAGAAAGTTGAGCATTTACCTTATATGTCAAATAAATAATTAGGAGATCTTTTCCATGATAACTTAAGTTGAATAATTGCCCAAAAAAATAATACTATACTATATATTCCTATCAAACACATAAGTCAATATCAATGATACAAAGTTTATAACAAAAATGGTACCCAAAGACTAGATATTTCAGTGAGTTTATATCTAATTAAAATATTTTCGTCAAAAGTACCTAATTAAGAATTTTAAAATGAAAACAATACCATATTAAGAATTGTTGAGACAATGGAACCATGTTAAGAATTGCATTAGGAATAAATTACCGAAGAAAATGGCATCAAAATCAGGAACCCAAATTTAGAATTTGTAGCCAATCTGAAAATTAATCTAGACGATTCAATGTGACCTGTATGAACTTATTAAGTCAAGACCTAATCCTAATGATCTGTAACACATGAAAAAATTAAATTTTAAATAAAAATGACAATACAAGGCTTAAAAATCAATAAAAGTTAATGAAAATCTCACATGTTTATTAAGGAAAGTTTGGTATCTTGTATATCTGGTAAATACCAAATGATTCAAGGTGATATAAATGTCTCTCAAGATTACATTTTTTGCTCACACTTGGAAGAATCTTTGTGTTTTTCCAGTTTTTTTCATTGGATAAGCTAAAATATTACTTTTTTTCTATAAATTCATTTTAGCATGGCAAACTCTCTTGAAATCAATTCCATTTAATCAATGAACATAATCTTAAATAGGTTCTTAAAACTTTTTATGTGTATCAGAGACATTGTTAGCTTCTATTTACACCATTCCTTCTGTGGTTCCTGTAATTCCACTAAAACTAAGCATTTTATGGAGTGACTATTGCAAAGGCCTTATAATATGATACAAGCAGATTTTGCAATAGTGACATCATCAAATTCTTAGTTTGAGTGGAATTACAAGAACCACTAACGTCTGAGTGAATATTGGAATGGTGTAAATCGATGTTAACATTTCCATTATGTCTGGAAACACTTTAGCAAGTTTATTTCGTATCGTGAATCTGGTTTTAAATATTCATAGAACATTACATCATGTATAATCATCAGCTTGTGTATTAGATGAATATCTTGAATACTGTATGAGTAAATGCCACCTTTCTTGTATGAAAAAGACCATTAAGAGAGAACAAAATTCACCACCATGAACAAAATTATTATTGAACCATGGTAGTTTACATTTTTAACAAAATGCTACACGATGAGGTATTAATATGTGACAAAGAGTTCTGACCTTTTGACTCAAAACCAGTCAAGAATTTTCCATTAAGAAGAAAAGAACAAAATAAGTTATTAAAATACATATACTATACAATAAACAAGGAAATATTCAATCACAATAATGCTTGTTATAAGTACATTATAAATAAAATATAACACAAAGGGATACTTTCATTCAGTTCACCAGTTAATAATATTTAATCAAGGCTACTGCTGTCTAACTATGCCCACATCTCATAATGTCTTGTCTGTCTGTTCACATTTACTGGTATATATGTTATTACTCAGTTGCAAATTTAACCCTATTGATAACCTTCGTGATAATTAGCTGGGAAAATGAATCGGAATAGTGCCTACTAGCCAACTAGAAGACCGTCACTCAATTTTCATTGTATTTAACCAACAACTCGTCTTTAGTACCAATCAGGCGCCCTGTAACTAATTTTTAAGCCCATCATGTTTCCACAGATAATGTTTTTTATGATGGACTACATCTTTGGCGTCTTGTAAGAATTTTTTTATCATATACTGCTACAATTTTCTTCATAGAGTGCCTTTATTGTAAACAGTGCTCAAAGCTTGCTCTGGTGTCCTTTACTGTTGATTTGTACATGTAACTGTTACGAATAGACCAGACAAAGCGTTATGGAGGACAACATATAAGGAATAAATTGTACATATATATTTAAATGAAAACCACAAAATTTCATTTTTTTTTTTAAACAATATACACTCAAAAAACTTTCCTGGAAAGTTAAATCCATTTATCTGTCTGCCATTCATCTTACATAACAACTTCTGCTAACATCAAGCAGAAACCATTCAATGCTATTTTCACAAGTGTTTTGCACTCATATAAAGACATAAAAACAACCACCATTACAGTAATGAAATGTTTACAATTTCTCGTACCAGGTATTAATAATACACCAAACTCCAGCACTCTTCATAATAGAAACAATAAATAGTATGGTTATTAATAATTAAACAATACCACTATCAATATAAATTTATTCCCTTTCATATACCTGTACCAACTAGAGTAGATTTTTTGGTCTGATATACTTGAAGTCCAGCAAAATTGTATTTTAAGTGGTTGATAGGATCCAATTTAAATGACTGGTACACCATCATAATTGCAGTTCATGTAATCAACAGAATTTAAATGTCACAATACGTGGTTTACATGTTAAATTGACAATAAATTTTCATTCCCATCTGTCTGCCATTTTGTGCAATTGGAATTGCGCATCTGTGATTTTGTCCAATTGTTCAACTGGAATTGTGAATTCCCTATATTTTTACAATCAGAATTGCCATTTTGACCTATTGGAATTGATCATCTGCCATTTTGACTTGTAGTCATTATTCAATAGACAATTTCTATTAAATTACTATTTCACACTTTCCAATGGTAGCACACATTCTAATCTCATCATAGTTTCCAAGACAATCTGGTTCTTGTAATGGGAACCTATGTCTTAATCAAATAATTGTACTGTTTCAAATATCCCTAGTTACTTCAATAACCATGGTAACCGGAATGCTTTTTGGTATTGACTTTTCAGATTTTCTTTTTTAACAGTTCATCCACCTGACTGTCTACTACTGATAGGGATATCCCAACTTGAGCAGCATAATATGTGGACATGATGATAACGTGAGAAAAAGGAATAGGTGTAACAAATTTATCAATAGCAATAACTAAATCAGATAACATAAACAAGATGGCGCCAGCACAACCACATAATTTTGTCCATGTCCACAAATCGTCGAAAAATTGTACTCTGGCAACAGCTCGCCAGGCCATCGTGCTGATCAATGCCACATAACATCCAACGATATAGCTTAATACATAATCATCAATTCCATCTTTTATGTAGGAATACACAATACATCCCAACACTAAAAATACAGTTCCAGCGTAAGGATTAAATGGCCGCCAACCAAATGCTCGTGAATAGTAAATTTGGGCAATGGCAAACATCAAAATGCCGACTTCGAAATAATACTTTTTGTAAACAAGAAAAGCATCACCCAGACAAGAGAAAAATAGTCCAATAAGAATGTATCTGGCGTATCGGTAATATTCGTTGAGACTCATTCCGTGTAGTAATACAAATAACATCAGTGAAATAATTGGCAGACATTTTACTATACAATAAAATATTGATGGATGTGACTCTTCACCAAATAATACAAAGAAGATAGAAACAGTCTTGAAAAATGGCACCAGTTTTGGACCAACACTCTTCAACTGAAAAACACAAAAAAATACATCATTAGTTTCATCGTCATTGAAAAATTTGTAGGGTCCACTGGGTTCAAAAGATAAAAGTGCACACACCAAAAAAAAACCCGAACATGGAATGCTTAAGGTTAGTCCGTTAGTCCTATGTAATTTGGCAACAGATACTTCATCAGCTGCTTTGGTAATGCTTTGATAGGTAGAGCAACTGCTTGTCTTAAATGGTTAAAACCGTTATTAAAAGGCGTTTTTCTTTAAAAATTAGTTATTTCAGAGTCAAGACCAGTTTTTTCCCTAGTAGAAAAAAAAGGAAGGGACCAGTTTTGAATTTTCTAATATTGGTTTCTCTGGCTGATCATAATACATATTGTTTTATTAATAGTAGTTTTTTTAAAATTTAGAATATCAATTCATATATATCTAGTAGGTTATCACAGAAAAGTAGGTTATTACTGGATAAATTGTAAGTTTAACCTAATTTCTGAGTATTGTAGGTTATAAATATATGTAGGAAGGTCAATAGGCAAACCTTTTTACACTACATAACATAAATAACACTTAATTCTATGCTTGAATAATCCCCAATTCAGCATTGGTAATAAAATTTTAATCAGAAACATTGAATGTTTAAGAATATAATCATGTTGCTTATCATTATAAATATAGATCTAACGTATTCGTAATATTACTCTACTGCAATTTACTTTATGAAAAGTGATACAGTTATATAAGCTTATACATGTATATATATATCTCAAATGTGAACCCACTAAAACTATGTTTATTCATGTACTACTTTATTTATGTGTTGAAGTCGTCATTCATTTAAAAAAAATTTTGACAGTTTCAAAATATCATCATGGATTCTAAGGTAATTTACTATTCACTAAGCACTGAGTTTCCCATAAATTAAAGCAATTGATAATGCTGAACAAGTACAAAATAAATTTCAGCTACGGCACTTTTCCATTGAGATCTATATATTAGTCATAGTCATATGATAGATGAAAATTACTATACCATTTAATAAAAAAAATTCAGGTACAAAGTCCACAATATATAGGGGTTACCATAATTAGGTATTAAATCAGTCCGGATGGAAAAAATTGTCATAGTCACATGAGATGAATAGAAACGAAACTAGCATCATCAAATGTAGAGGTATAAAGTTCAAACCAATAAAATTAGACAATAAGCATTTAAAACTAGGGTTAATATAAGTTTATCACATGACTTTTTATCACTCCTCCACAGTTACATTTTTTTATATCTTAAATAGATCATAATACCACCCACATGCTGTAAGGTTAACAATATACTTCCTTAATATTGAGGACAAACTCGGAGATCATATCCTTTTACACTTTTTTAGTCTAAATTACTGAAGGCAAAAAATTGGCATGAGCCCCAATCTCAACCCACCCAAGTTTTTATGCAAGAGTCTCCCATATATTTTTGTGAGTTCTCATGCTTTTCTCGTAAGTTAATTCCAATATGTAAAAACTTTACCCCATTTCAAAACTAGCTAATATCTTAATGATTTTATATCTGAAATGGTTGGCAAAAGAGTTCTTATAAAACAGATAGTTACATCTTTCCAAGCTTGATTCAATGATGAACTATAATAAGCTAATATCTAGTTGCCAATTTTCATCACTTTCATTAGTTGTATATAATGTAGGTATGTAGTCAGAAGTGAGACTTATTTCATGTAATGTTTAAGGGAAACTGAAAAATTTAGAGGCCTAATAAAATTCATGAATACCTTTGGGAGTACAAGGCAGATGTATGATAAAAAGTAAAAACCTTCATCATTACTTCTGTTTGACCATCCATACTACTTGATATACATTCAACACTAATTAAATGGGATGTAACAAGGTAATTCTATTCTAATTTGTACATATGGTTGTAAATTACCATTGAGTAGAAACATTTTCATATATACAAATGTAAATGAATTATCTTATTATAATATAATCTAACACCCTATCCCTTGCTATACAAGAACTTAATAATGTCTTCTGTTAAATTCAAAATATCATAAATGAAATGAATGGAGTTTTACGTCCTACTTTTCTTCACCATGTGGGCTAATGAAGATGTAATGCTATGCAGAGTGCAATGACGGAAATTTGCCATATGGATAAGCCAGCTCTTTTTCCATTTTCAACTGTTGAGGCATCTTTCATGTGCACATCTTGCAGCACACAGGGCCTAGGGATATTGTCCCATCTGAAAGACTAGATGCTTTTTCCATGTCAGCCCCTCTTACCCGCATCACTGACAGGGTGAAACCGGGTTGAAAAACCCGAAGGTATTATCTGGACCTATGTCAGGATTGAACCCTGGATCTTCAGGTTAGCGAACGAACAATTAACTCACTGAGCCACTGTGGCTCTTCAAAATATTAAAGCCATAAACTTTCAACAGTTTCATTCCATTCCTTGATTGTTTCCTTTCTCTCAAATTAACTAACTGTAATTTGAAACACAGAAATGTCATGGTTTAGCCATTTCATTACATCCCTTGTGTATAATGATTCACTCATCAAAAAATAGGCTTTATAACATTGACATAACTTTTTATAAGCATCAAGGCATAAGGTTATAGTTTTCCTGAATCTCACCTTTCAAATGTCACAGAAATAGTTATCAACCACCATGGTGAGCTAAAAGGTGGTTCATCTATCACAAGATAAGTCAAAGTTCATAGCTAGGTGTGAATTCAGGTAATTCCACATCTGGTTTATGGATGTCTGTAGCTAAAAGCACTCATAACTTACTGATATTAATTTGTATGGAGTCTGTGAATCACTATTCAGATAATATGGAGGACATATTGAAAAATACAAGTCAAGATAGAGTCTACTAGAGTGGCTGAAAAGTAGTTACCATTCTAAAGAAGGTATTTTTTTGTTTAAGGCTTAAAGTCAAACAAGAAATTAATAAGAGCTAGAAATTGATGGAAAATTTACATGCCATGGGTTCGAATCCTCCTCATTGTAAGAACAATTCTGATACCACCACCTGTGCATACGAGACACTCATAGTTTGCAATAATAATAAATAATAAGCTTATACAACTATATCTATATGACAGTTTAAGTTTACACTTTCTAGACACTTTTTATCTTTGTTTTTCTATACACTTCAGAACAAAATGAAATAATTTGTATGAGGCGATCATTAATTTTTAGGGTCAGCATCTTACTGTTTCAGGAAAAATTGTGTTTATCTAACACAAGATTCACCTTGAGTTTAAGTATTTACCTTGACTCTTCTTAATGAAAATGGAAACTGTGTATTTAAATCAAGATTACTCAAATAGAAATCCTGGTCATAAATAAATTCTCGAGCCGTTTCTGTTTCCATGGCTTTAAACTCCACTCATACTGCTGCCGATGACGCACTTTGCAATTCAATTACTGGTCAAAATTCAGTTTCAAAATATTACCATAACTGGTGTAAGTTGTGGAAAGGAAATTTCAGAAATCTGTAGTTACCATGATGATTTTAAGTTCCAAAAATTGACTTTCATAAGAAACTAGGCTTCACATCATAAATTAAATGTAGTAAAATTGTGAATAGCACCAAATGTGTTAACCACTTTCCCCAATTTATCACATATTTCCGGTGATAACATCTGCCAATTAGTTTGAGACACATGTGAAAACTGTTCAACATCAATTATGATAAAAAACACAATAGATTTTCCAGACATTAAATTGAGTGAAAAATTAATTATATGTAACAAATTTTGATGCATTTAAAAGCAAATAATCGATATGAACTTGAAATAAACTTCAGCTAAAGAAAGAAACAACAGAATTTTAACGTCAAGCAAATGGCGGCTGTGGGTTCCGATCCTGATCGGCGTGTAATAGTCTGATGAACTTGAATAATCAACAGAATAGAGGACTGGGCTTATTTTCTGTTTTAGTACAGGGAGCTAGCGTGGCAGTGGCTGGAGTATTAAACCCTTGCTCCTTAACCAGGTTTCAATTTCAACATACGTCAAGATAATACATTTTAGGGGCTTGATTTGAGTGTTGAATATATGTAAATAGTCTTCAAATCATTTATATAAATGTCTTTATATATCACAGAGTATCTTATCTTGACGAGTCGTCATTCAACATTCAAACACGGATAATTCTAGACACTCATGGATTTGAAGAAGAAATTTCGACAGTAAGCTTTGAAAACTATTACTGATTGGCTTAACTAAAAAATTCCGTTTCTGAGACTAAGAAAATGGCGCACCTGTCTCTTTATCTGTCAGTGATACAGGTCAAAGGGGTTGTTCAGATTTGATGCGTATGACACTAACTTGGCAATTTCCATCATAACCAAATGCATGCCCTTTTGTTTAGTCCAATAAGTTCCATAAGGATATAAAAACTCCTATTTCGTTCCAATTCTAGGACGCAGGTTCCTTCACCTAACAATGTTTGGAAATCATTTACCTAACAAGTTTGATTAATCTTGGTCGATATATTATTATAAAAGTTACCTAAGATACAGACTGACTGTATGTTTGTTAATGAGAACTACTGATTATTAAATACCGGTATGTAATAATCTTCCCCAGGGCATAACTCATATAATTATACTATTTTAAGTACAGTTATTCGCTAGTTTAAAGTATGACTGCCTGTTAACAATCATGAGACTTCATTTTCTGCAGACTAAACTCAACATGTTCACAATCCTAATGACTAATAGTACCAAAGTCTTATAAACAGGAATTCTTTATCTTAGAAGCTATTCAGTAATAGTGTTCACAGATCACCATCCAAATTTGAGCTATCATGTCCATTATATAAGCCTATATCATAGGAAAGACAAATAAGCTTATATAAAATATAAAGTAAAATTTCTAGTTTGAGGTAAACTTATATTTGAAGGGATTATGATTATGATTTTCGAGCAGGTTTAATATCCTGATGACTATATACATCTAATCAAAACCTAAATCAACCCCCTAAAATAAAGACCATAAAGACTCTGATAAGTATAAAATGTAACAAAAATGTTCCAAAACAATTGTCATTTTATTAAAGATTTACTACAATTTTATATTTATAATATATTTCACATCCAACATTATTCACATTGAATACTGACTCTAGGATGTCCAGTAAGTTTTTAGACCGAGGTCATACATTTTCTTCAGGGCAGAACTTTGTCTTTTAAAAAAGAATTCTTTGGCTTTCAACAAACAATATTTTTTGCCATTACATAGGCTTCCATCCTTTAATGCTGCACCAAGCCATAATGGAACATCAATTTAATAATCAATTCAATGTATAGAATGCATCTCTTTTCAAAACTTGATTAAATATTGACATTGATTTTTGTTCATGAATAATTCATTACATAATTATTCAAATTAAGACAAAATGAATACTGTATACCACACAAAAATGTACTGATGGTCAAACTGGAATAGTCTAATAGAGCTCACAGAATGAAGCTCTGATAACAAAATGTTTTACTTTCTGATACTTCTAAAACTAAACTTCTTAATTTACTTCTTAAAAAGTTCATAAACATTTTCTTAGACCATTAAATTTGATATCATCTAAAAATCTGTGCATTTATGCCATCTCTTCTATAGGGCCTATTGATGTATTGTTTTTCAATAAAGTGAAATCTTGTCTACACAGAGATTTTGACTTGCTCAGATTGCTCTAACCCTGCATCCAAATCTGACATCAATACAGACAAAACATTTATGAAATTCTCATGGACATACAAAAACTTGTCAGTAGACCTTTCATCCTTCGTTGACATTGTAAAATATTTTCTAAATTTAGAACAATAAAATCTTATTTTATAACTAGGTCATATGATAATAGTACGTTTTAGCTAGGCCTATCTTCAGAAATATGGACAAAATTCCACCGACAAAATATGCTAGCATCCACATCATAATCAAGACGATTCACTTATTTTGTTTCGTGGAAAATCATGGGGTTAAGATAATGATCAAATCACCAAATGGTCAAATGAAATGGCTGAACAGACTGAGATGAGAATATGTCAAATACCGTACCTCATACAAAGAAAATTGATTTTTGAGATTTTCCCGTAATCGTTCGGCTAAATTTGCAAACAGAACGGTTGAATGAAACCTCAAAAAGATTCTTATAATGAAAAATGGTAAAAATGGTAAAAATAATGGACTTACGACGTTCAAAGGTTTCGTCATTTTGAACTAATATGTGATACGTCTTCACCTAACTGCACATTTCTTTCAGCTGGCTTGTTTACATCAGTATACTATATTTAGCTCGCCGTGACGTCATCATTAAATTGTAACAGAAATAGTGATTGGACATTATCTGGGTAATATCAATATTCGCATGAAATAAAAAATATACGGTACAGGAAATTTAATGATATAATTACTATAGACTCTTGAATGATTTAGCCTACATCGACTTGATGATTTTGAGAATAAACGAAAAGAGATCCGTTGCTGAAGAAATATCTTGCTGATGTCAAGTAAAACGGAATCTATGACCTTGAAATGGTGCTGAACTGTTAGTTAGGCTAATTTTTGTTATGGAACTACTTTATCATGCTAAATTATCTTTTTGACGCAAAAGTCAATATCTTATATCCTATCTGCATGCATCAGCTATCTAGGTTTTTTAAAACGAAAGTCTAGATATGTGGCTTACATGAAAATATTTATTATAATTATTTAAATTATTCCGATTCCTTGTAAATTCACCACATATTTTACATCATGGAAAACAAGTAGGCCTACATTAACCTTCTTGTGTAGCCTATATAATTCAATTACGTTGTAAATTCTAGATATTTTATTTCCAAATGTGATGGAAGCTATCGATGTCACTATTCAGAAAGATATTACTATGTTTGATCCGTCTGCAATTTAAATACAACTTATCGGGTGTGTGTGGTGTTACGGCAGTGTACTATCATCATTCTCTAGTCCAGTTATAACCAATGACGTCATAATATTGGAAACATTATTATGTTCATGTTGATGAAATATTTATACTTTCGGTAATTCCGCGAATACCTTATATTTATAGCAGACAAACTAGATATCGAATGGTCTAACTAATAGGTGACACAACTGGCTGAAATTGAAAAGGGATAGGGTATATTTAGACCAATATTATAAGATGTATTGTATCTAGGTGGGCATTACAAGAACGTGGATGAATAGATCGTAATTAGGCCATGATATGGACAGATATAGAAACATCGTATCACTAATACGAATTTTGACATGGTCTTATTACGAATAGGAGTGTGGTTTGGACACGGTGATATAGAAATAGATTCTGGATAGATTTCTAACGAACCTTTTATACAGCCAACAGTAACAATGCGATATTACAGGTCTAATTTGGGTAAACTTTAATAACAATTACATTGGTCAAAATGTCCAAAAAATTATTCGTATCAAGTACATCACGAATGCAAATTATGTTCATCGAATTAGGATGAAATCTTCGACTCTGTAATACCGTCCAGCCAAATAAGATGAGACGGGAGGGGCCTTTACGCAAGTCCGTATTCCAACGTGGACTTGAATCTATCAACGATTTTTCTACATAATTAAAAAAAATTTGGTTTCCCCAATTGTTTTAATTTTTTTTTATCTTTGAGTGCCTGGTATTCTGGGACCGCTTTGACGATTGTGTGAAAAAAACCCACCCCGCCCACACACTTACACCCACTCACCCACCTAATGATTCATAGAAATGCGTCACTGAATGATAGAAGTTGCAATGTTGCAGTCTGTTGTAGATCTGACTGTCAGGGTTCCGCGATGCTTCGAATGAAAATCGATCCCAGATCACCTTTATGATATGTCAATCTGCACAAAGTCAAAAGATCACTACAGGTTCAATCAATACAATATGCTTTGCCTAGATAGATTTTATTGCCAACATATAAATAAGCCTTGATTATAAATCTAATTTCTACGTAACAACTGCACTTCTGCCGTTTCTCGCTGAACTGAATGCACCGAAATTATTACGCAGAAGTATAACAGGTCGGCCTATTGATATACCACGCATGTCAGTGAGTGACAAGACAACTGTCATCTGACCTACTTCACGGTACATCACTCTCATGCTTCATTGATTTCTCTCAATAGACGGCGCTACGAACCCAATATGGAAGGAAGTGTAGAGTAATGAAAGCATAATGTGATAGAATTTTTAATATTATTTTACTGTTCCTGTTTTAATCCTCGAAATAATGGGCAGAGAACAAGATTTACTCGATGCAGCAAGGACTGGCAATGTGGGCAACATTGAGAAGCTGTTGTCAAACCGTTCTAGGAAATCTTCAGGCGGTGGTGCTTTGACAAGTGCCCTGGCAAGGTAAATATTTATTATAGTGAAATGCTTTCTATTGTGTATTTTTCATAGGATTGAATTACTCTCGACAAGGAAATAACCTTGGTTTCCCCGTATGTGTGCGTTTGTTTTAACCAATCTCAATTTATACCATAATTTTCTAATGCTTTCCAACATGTCAAGGTGACAATTTGGTATTTGTCAGTTTGTCACATTACCTGTCTGTCACCTACTTTGTGTCATGTTTTATAGAATTTCCTGACAATCCTGTATCTGCAGCCCACACCTTCCTTTTATTCAGGATGTAGGCTATTTGGAAAAAAAGCCGGGTGTTTTGGCCATTTTTTTAAGTTTGACACAGTGATTTGTTATGCAAAACACCAAAGACTTAAGATGTTTCTATACTTGTTGTCATGGTCCATGGATGTCTGAGGCATTTGGGAATCAAAAGGCATAGCCCAGAGACAGGCTGATATTTGCTTATCTGTTCATATAATTCATGTCATTAGATTTTCATTGGCCCACTAAGTCTGAAGGCTCAGAATAATTAAATTTTAATCAATATTTCAATTAAATGTTTATTTCCATGATGCTCACTATGCCATTGCTCAAAATACAGGAAATGTTAAGATTTTAGACTGGTTATTAGTCAACTTACACTATTTATTGGTAATAAAAACTAAAACAATGTTATACATTGTTCTGTAGAGGAAATATTATTTTCCAGTTGATAATGCATTGTTTGATATTGCCCACTTCTTAATGAACTCAATAATGTTAATTTCTGTTGCCACTTTCATATGGCCTAGCTAATAATGATATTGCCATGTTCTGTAATGTCTAGGTTTATATATGCCAGTTTTGTAATGCCAAAGTTTATATTGTCCAGTTCTGTAATGCCCAGGTTTATATATCCCAGTTTTGTAATTACCAGGTTTATATTGCACAGTTCTGTAATTCCCAGGTTTATATTGCCCAGTTCTGTAATTCCCAGGTTTATATTGCCCAGGTCTGTAATTCCCAGGTTTATATTGCCCAGTTCTGTAATGCCCAGGTTTATATTGCCCAGTTCTGTAATGCCCAGGTTTATATTATCCATTTTTGTAATGACCAGGTTCATATTGACCAGTTCTGTAATGACCAGGTTTATATTGACCAGTTTTGTAATGACCAGACTTATATTGCCCAGTTCTGTAATGGCCAGGTTTATATTGACCAGTTCTGTAATGACCAGCTTTATATTGCCCAGTTTTGTAATGACCAGGCTTATATTGCCCAGTTCTGTAATGGCCAGGTTTATACGGCCCAGTTCTGTAATGACCAGGTTTACATGGCCCAATTCTGTAAACAGTTTTTGTGTTTATGCCTAGCCAAGTTTATAATGAACAGATTTATATTGGCCACTTCTGTAATGATCTGATTCCTGTATTTCAAAATCAATAATTTTCAGTTTATGGAATTTAAAAGCAGTGAATATAAATTGTACAGATGCAAGTGGTGAAACCCCTTTACATTTAGCTGCTTTAAATGGCCATAGGTAAGTAAGAATAGTAGAATACCAAACTTTCAGCCTATTCTTGTGGATTACAATTTTTATACGTCCACCAGAATGGCATCACCCATGTCAGTCGTTTCGTCCACAATAGCTCGTAAACACTCTACAAGGGACAATTCTTGATTGATTTTGACAAAACTTGGTATGAATGTTTGAAATTACCCAAGGATGAACCCTATTGAAATTCAGAAAAATCCAAAAATATTTTCTAGCACTTAAGCATTCCTTACTTGCCACTGACTGGTTCATTCCATTGCCATGGAAACTGAAATGACAACATTTTTCCTATACTATAATTCTGCACTATATTGTGTTATTGAAATGAACAATGCCATGCAGTTTGCAATAGGGTAAATTTTGTCAAGACATTTTCCAACTGTCAAGATATCTTGGAAATTAAAATGTGTCAAAGATAAAATGGACCAGTTTGAAAAGAAAGATTTAATCATTTAAGTATCAGCTGTTATCTATAGTAGGATATTAATCATTATCAATATGTTCTATTATATAACAATCATTAGTATCTTGATAGTTAGCTACCAACATGGTATTAACATGTATAATAGAATACTATCAAAATTAGGTGAACTTTGAAATTTTGAGTACAAATTTATTTCATGAAAATAAAATTGATGTGGCAAGACATGCCAATTTTATTTTACAGAGTATATTTGGAAATATTATTATTATAGTTACAAAGAGTTGAAAATAAAGCTATAAATTTTGATGAAATTGGAAAAATCTGATTGTTAATCAAAAATCTAACACAAAGGAATACTCCCTTCACTGATATTAATCCAAAAAAAAAATGACAAAAGCCAAAACATTTTGAACATTGGGAAAAGGTGTGAATGAATGCATTTTCCATTAGCTTTTTGATTTCTGAAACAGATATTGTTGTCTGTCAAACAAGAAGTATTTTTCATTTTGAAATTATGCACAAGGGATATTTCAGCTGTTAAGATAAAATTGAGTCTTTTGGCTTTAATTGTAAGGGAATGAAAGGCTTATTTCAACATTAATAAGTGATACAGCTGACAGACCAAATTTTATTCCATGAAGATAATATGATTCTTTTTTTTCTGAAATCCCGTGAAGACTTTGTAATTCTTATCTTTATATTTCATACATAGTTAAATTATGACAACAGTTTCCCTTTAATACAAAAGATTTCTATGAAGCGGACTTTGACTGTGTATGTCTATTAGATGGAAGACCAGCCCTGTCACCAGAAACGAATTGGTGCTGGGGCTCAGATTTTGTACTAAAAAAAATTGAAGAATTAAAACCCTGAGAACTCATTTCTATATGCTATATCTTTTTGATTTTATACAAAGACACTGTAAATGAATCAATCTTTAATGAACTGAAGAACATTTTGCTGGGGCTTAATTCTCTCTTGCTAGGGCCCAGTCCCACACACCCACCCAACAGCAGGGCTGTAGAAGATTAATATATTAAAGTAGGAGAACTGTACAAACTGTTTATAATCTACTTTATAGATTACTAGAACTTCAATATCATCATTATCTCACTAACACTGATCTTAACACATTTATATTGTTGATCAATCAATCATAGTATTCATTGTTTATCATTCAATCAACTTGATTATATTATATTGTTTATCATTATAGCCCTGACACACTAGACTACAACCATCTTACTGCAACAAAAAATGTTTAAAAAGTTCCTTGAAATTACACATTTTACAAAATTCAACTTGCAACCATATTGCGTTCCGAAGACGCGAGGCCTGTACCCAAACCCAATGTGCCAAAGGAGGCAGCAGTATGCATGGGGGGCAATAACTGATAGAGACTGATTTCAGCTTCAGATTTGAGAATACGTTTGAATGTTGCAGAAGGGGGGGGAGGGGGAAGCGGTGAATATAGTTGCAGTTGCAACCCCCAAGACGCCCTTATAATTAAATCTATGAACTTGGGGCAATTTTTTTCATTGCGTTTATTGAGATGATAAAACACTTGTTTAAACCAATTCTCGATTTTGTGGCAATCTCAACGGCCATTGTTTGCAACAATTGCGTCCACCGTACGATATTTGACTCTTCCTTCGTGCTTAACCACGCTTATGAATACAGTGACTTTAGCATGCTCTGAGCTAATTTTCTGTCATGAGGCTCAGTAGGCCTAAAGATTCCTTTCCGGTGTGACAGTGCTATTATTTATCATTCAATCAAATAGACAGAACTTTTTGTGCTTGACAGAACTTAAGTTTTGTTTTTTACATAGCTTCTTGTTAGATAGAGTTATTCCAACTGTCAAAGCATCTTTGAAGCTCCACAGTTGAGCTAGCAGCAAACAGTGTCTGACTGAGTTTTTTGTCCAAATTCTGGTGTTAAAAGAAAAGAGGGTAGGCTACAATAGACTAAAACCTGTTCTCAAATCCTATTATATCAATAGATATTATCTTTATATACAAAAAAGAGGGTTATTGTCCATATATTTTGAAATGTGGTGTATATAGAAACAAAACATCTTTTATCCAATAATTTCATTCAAAAACATAGCCTACATAATTAACTTCCTTGTGTATGATCCTAATAGAAAAAATTTAGGTGAACTGGTTTGGTATCTCCAAATTGAATTTCCGTTCTCTTATTAGGTTTCTATAGATTTTATATCCTTGATGTTTCCTTCTTTCTGTAAGACCAGACAACCTCAGAATTTTACAGCTTTCTATATTGAATAGTCTTTGAACAAACTTTGCAGCCAGTTGCCCAGGACTTTATAACAATAAAAGTTATGTTGCATTGCCTAGGTTAAAGTTTCAGAAGACCTGTAGACAATGTTTTCGCGTTAGTATTCATTGATGTGATCTCACAATGTGTATAATGTAAATTCTTACAGACTGTTGATATTTTATCTTTCTATTTCTTATCTTGTGGATAATCTTGTGTCAGAATGAACTCCTAATTTTTAAAAAGCAATAAACCTAGCAGAAGTTTCATTCACTAATATTAATCGCAAAAATTGACTTCTGTCAAACATTAAAGGAACAGATGCGCCACTTGGACGGTTGATTGGAGGCTTAAATATATGTAGTATTCAGAAGTACTAGAAATGTACGAAAATCGCATAATTCCTTCAAAAATATCTCAAACTAGGAATTTCTTTTCCCATTTCTGTATATATGTCTTTTCTATATATGGCAGTGTCTCATGAAAAGATGACTCATCTTTTTAACTTGATACTGATAATTCTGGACACACTTTGATTTGAAGGCTCAAATAATATATGCTAAAAATATTTCCCATTTCTGAGACTAAAACAGTCCCTTTAAGCGGTTCTTCGGCAGTTACCAGAAAAAACCTGACGGCTTCAATGGGTTTGGAATTTCCAATTTGTAATTGTGTTATTACTCATTGAATACTGTTTCCTGCCTACAACGTGACATATTTCGTAAATTTTCATGGTTATCATTTTCAGAAAAGAAGGAAGTCTTTATTCTGAATTTAAAGGAGCACCTTCACTATCCGTTGGACCAATCATAGCTTAGTTTCGGAAACAGGAATTTCTTTAGCTTACATAATCAGTAATAGTGTTCACAGCTCATCGTCAAAATTTGAGCCTTCATATCCATGGTATCCATAATTATTCACGTTTGAAAGTTAAAAATATGACTCGAATTTGAGTGAGACTATGCGATATATACAAAACACATATATAGAAATAGACAGTGAAATTTCTAGTTTGAGGTATATTTGAAGGGATTGTGTGATTTTCGTGCGTTTTAGTACTTCTTAAGACTATTAGAGCACATTTAACACTCAAATGAATCCCCAGAAATGCTGACTGTTCCTCTTTAAACACCTTTAGCTTGGTATATATAGTATTAAATTATAGTAACTGTATCTAGCATTGCTATTATGATCACGCTAGACATTAAGTAGAAACTTGTTTCCACAGACAAAACGACTGCCAACCAATTATTCTCCAGTATTGATCCATTTGTCAGAGAATTTGACACTTATTTCTTGTAGGCCAACTCACAATGTGTCAAGTTTTAAAGAATTGACACCCAATTCCTCACAAACACTGAAAGAACCATTCACTATATTATAGTATACTACTCCTGGGTATTATTGTACACAATATTTCAACAATTTACATTGTCATCATCACGTGAGGAAGTACAAAAAGGCTTAGTTTTATAAAAAAAATATACTAGCAACAATTATAAGGGATAAATTGAGTCTAAATTTCACTTTATTTTAATTTTCGAATTCAAATATTAGAATACAGTTTTTTAAAGGACAGGTGCTCCATTTTGGGTGGGGTGGGGGGGGGGGGGGGGTTGGTG